TGCAGTATAATTCTAATATAGGAAATATAGTACTAACAGTTTTCTTCAACACTGCCTCTACATGCAACCTTTCACTTTATTTTACTTCTCCAACATAGGTTTGAAAAGAAACCACTGTATTTAATGAATATGGATGCTAAATAAAAATGGCATGTCAAATTCAAAGCCAAGTTTACAATTACCTGAATTCCTGCTGTTTCCATTAGACCCACCCCTGCATTCATGATCAATATCCTCCATTAAGCCTGGGTCAGGATGTCAGGGGAATTCTTTTAATGACGACAAGTTCATGATTTCATGAGTTGATCATTAAATGCATTGAAAACCAAATTTACAATGTGGGGTGCCTCATCGCAATTAATGTACACACGTTTGGGAAAAATTCTACATACTACAATCATGATATTAACCAGATAACATATGACAGTTCATAATGTACATTCTGGAATATTACATCAAATATTGAAACTAGGAATCTCTATAGATTCAATACTTCTGCCGATAGACAAATAAACTAATATACTCAAAAAAAACAAGATCAATGAACCTGCTGGCAGCAAAAAAAAAACAAAATTTCCATGAGCCAACAAAACTATATAGAACTAGAGGGAATTTACAATTTCTATTTTATGTCACAATTCTTGAAATACTGAGTAAAGCAAAGAAAGCCACAGATTGGATTGATTACATTGATGTACGAGGTAGTTAAAAAAATGAATGAATTGATGCTACTCTGAAAGGAAGAAGATGCAGCAATCAATTTTTTTTTCATATTCTTGCAAAGCACATACAGCTGCCATTCACTGTATACATGAATACACGTCGAACGTAGATAGGAAAAACCCACAGGCCAATAAGACACTTATATAAAAATGTCATAAAGCCCTTTGTATATACATACAAGGAAATGTAATCTGAATATATACATGTACATGTATGTATTTTGATTCCTACATACATGTATACAGCCAATTACAGTAATGCCTTACAGACCTATGAATTATAACAGTAACCTTCAGCATATAAATAAGTAGTGAAAATGAATATAAAATTAATATTTGATAGAAACTCTTTGAAAAAGTTTTACTGATGCTTTATAAGTTTTTGTTAGTCAGATAGACAGATATTTCATTTCAAACTACTATGAACATGAAATATAAATTAGCCATGATTTGTGGATATACAAAAATGTATTGCATGCATTATCCTGTGTAAGTTTCACACTGGTTTGTAAAAACAGAGACCAATTTTTACTCCCTCCAAATCGAACTAAAAATTTGAAACATGTTTTATATTTTTCTCAAATCTCATCGATCACCAATTGATATTAATAATGGACACAGTACACCATGCTTAATCATACTTGATTCAGATCAAAAATGGCCATTGAATTGAAATGTTAAATGTATATATGTGCAAATATGCAACATCATGTATAAAGTATACACATGAACTATCATGGCACTTTGAAACAAAATGGCCACCAGTTAGCCACTTTGAATCCAATTTGATGTGCATTAAAGGTCACATTATCATTAATATTTGTACCAGATTTTGAAAAAAAATTCATTTGTACAAGTTCCAGTCCTGAAATGCTTGATTTTGATAAATTTTAACACAAATGATATGGCACAAGCACATGTCTGATGTATATGTGAAGTTTTTATGTGAACAGTCTAGGCATGTCTCAGATACAGCTTGGTTGATCTATGAAGTACAAATTTACCGACTGTGTCCAAATGGGGACTAACAATTGCAAAACAGAAAACAATCTCATTTTATTTTATTTTAGAAATAATGTTTTGAAAAATATCTACTGTACACTATCGCTTACAGTTTCAACTAATGTTGGGGAAAACAAGCAGATTTGCAGTGAGTTAATGAACTGGTCAATGCAAGATGACTAAATGGGTCCCTTGTTAGAAATAGAAATAAATCCAGACAATTCCATCTTAATTAAAGATGGAGAAAATAATTAGGAATGATAAACCTGCCAATTGCTCATATTATTCACACTTAAGTTGGTTCACATCAATGAGATCATCATTGCAAAAAGCATCTGGGTAGGTTACACTGCCAGTAAATCCCAAATCTATCACAAATGTAATCGATGCATGAGAGAGCCAGACAGACAACATGATTGTATTGATAAAGCCGACAAATGTATTCGTTAATGATGGGTCCATGGTTCTGTGCAATTGTGCATTCATACAAACATGAATGAACGAATACGTCAAAAGCTTGTAAAGAATGCAGATGCACACGCACTTCAATCACAATCCAATCCAAGATGACAAACTTGAAGCCATGCTTGTTGAGAAAATCAAGTACAATTTTAAGAAATCAAATCTTAGTATTTTTATTTTTATTCAAATTTCAGAATCATTAAACACTCAGGACATCACATGCACAACAGATTCAATTTCTTTTGTTTAAAAAAATAAACCCAATAAAATATTTTATTAAAAATTTTTAATTTTGTTGGAAATTACAGGCTAAAACACTATAAATTGTCTTGGCAATAAATATATAGTTTGTTTATTCTTTCATTGATTTTCTATAATTTGTTAACATATTAGGTATCATACACAAATGTTAGAGAGTAGAATATTGAACATCAAAATATGTCACCGACAGACTGACAGATATTCATCTATATTATATTCAAATAAATGACAGCTAATTTTTTTCCTGCCCTTCTTAAAAAAAGTTGTTCACAACTGAAAGGCAGAGCAATATTCTCCCTGAGGTGCAATTTCATACCCTTTCTGGTGGTCTTTTCAATTCTTACCTCAAGTGCTGTCATTTTCTTCCCCAGCAAATTCTCCCAATTATCGGCAATCTCAGTCACAATTTGCTCGCCATGTACAGGCACTAGTGGTATATTCTCACTCTTGTACCTCTGTAGGAGAATATAAAAAAAAAAAAAAAGATAAGTCATTTTTTGAATTGACTCATTTATAACGATGTAGTTCAATTCACATGAGCAAACGCGTATAGGTTAATTATAAAGAAGCAAAATTATACCAATTTCACCTCTGTAACAGATGTAAAGAGCAAAGATTGCGATAAATGGACCTAGCAAATGATTAAGCTTGGTAAATTAAAACATCATGCTTGAAGACACCAGTAGAGTAGAGTATAGTAATATTGAGTACTTTGTGTTCCATTCAGACCAAATACATCACATGCATTCACATTTCTCGGTCATACGACATGCATGATTGAAACCTCAACTCGCTACTGAACTTTGATATTTGAGAGAAAGAAATCAGAAATTCACAATTGCTAAATAATTTATTGAAAAATGCTGGGAAGCTACAAGCCTTTAACACTTAGTAGACAGCATAGATAAGACATTCTATGCAATAAAGACTATAAATGAATGTTACCGGTATATTCATTTTGGTCCCTGTAATACCGATCACAAAACAATCAAATCTCATGTTTCTAGTTTAAACTCTGCCAGCATACAGTGAAAATTATTCACACTTAGAGACCCAAAGACAACAAAAAAGAACCACTGACTGTCACTCAGGTAATCAAATCTTATATTAAACTTGATCAATAGCCTGCTGTAAGAACACAATCTCAGAAAAAAATCTAGGAGTAAATAAATCATCCCATCGTGCGTTGTTGTGAACTGTGAAATGCCAACAAATGCTGACAGCATGCACTAAATCTTGTAAAACAGCAATAAGTTTTATTTTGATCAGAGATAGAAGAAAACAAACCAAACCATATTTTATTCACAAATTATTAAATTAACTAGACAAGCAGCCTGTCGGCTGAGATATCACTTTTTACCAAAAATTACAAAAATTGAAGATATCATCATGAAATGAACAAATCTAAGAGAGGTCTACCAAAGGTATATATACACCAAGTATCAAAGCATCCGGACTTGTAGTTTCCAAGAAGAAGTCGAAAAAGTAAAACATTGACACAGACGATGACTGACACCGACAGACAATCACTCATATGATAAGCTCCACTCGACAAAGTCAACAGCGGGGCTAATAAAGATACTTATTTCCATGTTTTTTTTTTAATTGTCATTCTAAGATATCCTTTTTTTCCATTAAACATGGTAACTTTTTCTAGAGCATGTAACTGAGATGGAGTAACTGAGACCACTTATACGTCAAAAAATAAAGCACTTCTGATCCAACACTTGAATATGCACATAATTATATAACTAAATTAACTACTAGTATTAAAATATATGGTTTCTTCCATATTGTTGTGCATAATATACTGAGGCTATTTGTAAAATAGAAATACTATTATAGACTGCCAGCACAATCGTAACATTGTGCACCTAAATTAAATAAGAGTTGTGTTAACACCTTCTATAAGCATTCAAGTCAATCAGGACTCCAGTAAAAAAAAAACAAGAATCATCAATTCGTTCAATGGCGGGTAATATTTAAATGATATATATATGTGCGTGTAAGAAATACTATAGAACAGATGAACAGACGGTTGACTGTAAATGTAATTTACAGCCTTATGACTGTTGTCAACACTTTACATCATTTGATGAGGTAACCAAAGATCCATCACCGCAACTCATCATTCTGATCAAGCAATTTTAACTTTCAACCTAAACCAATTACGATAACACAACTATAAATGACACCAATGACCTCTAATTTCCAACTTCTAATCAGTTTGTTGATAACTTTTTCAATTGAGGTAATTGGCAAGCTGAAAATGTAAAAGTTTCGGAGTCATCCTGTTTGGCACTTGTGAGGTAAATTTACAGCTTGTGGTGTGACTAGAATAGTAATGATCGCGTATTGTACCTGGAGGCTACTTCAAATCGGCTGCCTATTCACCAAAAACGTTTTGCTGCATTCAGAGAAAACAAATATTATCTATGCTTCCTTCCTAAAATTTCAATTTAAACAAAGTGGCTTAAATGGAAGCACTGATTTTGAGTTAAACAAAAACACAGTATCGACTGAAAAAGAATTGTGACTATAGACTAGTTCTGAACTACATACATTAGTTTAAGATCAATTCATGAGAATAAGAGTTGGATTGTTCTGGTTAAGTGCGATATATAAAGAACACTTGTAAGAGCGTAGTAAACACAAATAGTCACAATTCTTTTCTTTTTTTTCAATTTTAAAAAAAAACGCCTACAGTGAAAGGAAAAAAAAATTTTTTTACCACCAATTAAAATATTGCAAAAAGAATTTTATACAAAAAGCTATAATGGAATGAGTGCTACACTGAAACCACTATAGTCTCCAAATATATTGTTAAAATCACGCACAATTACATAATATATATACATACATGGTTTCAATTTCATAACGTCTACACACCATCAAATACACTAAAGGCTTACCCTAAGAAAAAGCACTTAGCAGAAGTGAAATTTATTATGTGTGATTTGTTGATCACTTAGCATTTTTTGCGTAATACTTCAATTTAAGGTTGTTTTTTTATGAAAAAGCATTCACTATTCATATACCATTCACGAACAGTACAGTAAATGGTATTTTTATCCATTGTTCACTCACATCTCTTGAGATACATTAGTGTTCCCAGTCTGGTATTAATAAAATGATCAATCATTGGATGTTGGGCCAGTCAATTTAAACACGATTTTCTACTAGAATTGAGGTTTCGCTGATCTCTGACATTTAGTCATTACAGAAATGCAAGGTACAATAAAAGAATAACTATCTCATATTTTTGCAGGAGACAGCTAGCAAATAATACTTGTACCAAGACTTGTCTTGAACCGGCTGGTGAGTACGTGTTATAGACATTCTGTGGTTATACAGTATGCTGTAAAAACTGGTTTGGCATGGTTTACACTCCGATTGTGACAAACAAGTCATTGACACAGTCCCCGTTAAATTTGTGAAAGTTCTCTTTGTGCTTGTCATATTAAAGTGGAGGGATTGTTGCGAGCGAGTCCTTGAAACTTGAGTCCAAAGATTGTTTATTTACATCTAATTCGAACATGTGTTGCGTGACGACCCCTCCAGTTTAAGACATAGCAAAGAAAAACATAGATCATGCTGTCCAAGTTATCACATTTTAAACAAACAAGATGGCAGCCAGTCGGCCATATTTGATCAAATTGCAAATTCAACTGACATGTACATGTATCCATTTATGACATGCTAAATATCAATGAAAATGATACAAGGGTGACAGAGATATAGTAATACACCCTGTATGGCCAAAAATAAAAACAGCCGTTATTCGGCCATCTTTGATTTGAATATGAAACAAAGTGACATGTATGATGTATATGCCAAATACAAATGAAAAGGGTACATAAAGCTTGGAAATATAGGCCAAAAAGTCAGATGGCTGTCAATCGGCCATCCTTGATCCGATTTTGAAACAAATTGTCATGGACATGTATCTTAACATGTATAAAGTATGTGCCAAATTTGAATGAAAACTGACAAAGCATGTCCAAAATACAACATTTTCAAAAAACAAGATGGCTGCCAGTCGGCTATTTTGAATCGAATCGCTAAACCACTGCATGTGCATATGCAAGTGTGAAGCGCTTGTGGCTTGTACATTTATATGTGTATCAAGTTACTATGATTTAACCAATTGGCATTGTGGCTGTATCAAATTGGGGAGGTTTTGGCCAATCAAATTTCTGTTGTGAACATACATTGCTTAATTAGTCCTCGTTCGGACAAAGTCCAAAAACAGGGACTTATAATTTGGTCTCCGTCAACACGTTCGATCAACTCACAATATACCGGGTAATATATTCTAGTCTTACCTACAAACTTTTAAACAGGTGATATATTAGTCAGGAATCGGTAAACATAAATACAATCAAAATGGCCATTTTTGTTTGAATCCCAAACATACGACATGCACCTGTAACCCAATAAGTATAATCCTCATACAAAGTTTTAATGAAATTGCCCTGGTCAAATCGGGACAGATTTAAGTATCAGAATTTGAGTACAAAAAAGGCCGCCAGTCAACCATACTTGATCAAACAGTAACACAAATTGATGTTCATATGTGTAAGTCAGCATACATTGTCTTGGTGATAAGCTTGAATGTAATCAGTCTAAGAATCCCCAAGAAATGACTCTTGAGGCACGGACAGACGAACAGAACCCAAATTAACCAATTTCAGACTTCATTTGAAATGGGGACCAAAAAAATCAATCAAGGTGACTTTACTTTAAAAAACAATCAAAAAGATCTCAAATAATACATTCACATTGAGTCTAATTCACAGAAAACCAAGTTTTTATATCAATTCCAAAATCTAGCCAGAAAGCAGTTAACACATTAAAACCTAAGCATGTACACTGTGTGCATAACATGTGGAGTATGCATGTAGAGGTGTTCTGGTTTCATCAACCATTGCATAGATTAACAATTAACAAGCTACAGAAATCACACATTACATTTGTGGGAGAATAAACCTGTATTGATAACTTTACATCTAATGCCTAAATTACATATATTGTTCTATGCTGATTTAAATCAAGAGGTTTCAGAATTTATCAGCTTTGTATATACACATTTTAAAATGGAAATAATTGAGTTCAGAAGTTTGATTGCACTGAATAAATTACATAAAAAATGTCACACAACCTTGTTTGATTTGCCTGATCAGTTTGTAAAAAAATTACAGTGGTGCTGTGTCAGGTTAAACCACCATAGGATTGGATATACTGCAGCAAACACAGTGCACACTAGAGACAAGACCTATTAACCCATCCTATATCAATATAATACAAGTCTTATTCTAGTGTTGCTGGCATAACCCATCATCATGTTTTTAGCCTTTAGATGCAATTGGTGTATTCTTAGTTGTTAAAATAAGCCAGTGTAAGTTTTATTTAATTTTAGTGAATGCACATTTCCTACTAAAAAATAAGGATGAAC